GAAGAATCTTTGTTTTAGACAGTTCTCTCTCCCAGGATGTTTGCTTCCTGGACCAGTAAAATGCAATGAAGTTAAAAGTTAGTCCTTGTGTGAGACAGACTGCTGTTATAGCTAATGATTTTCACTGTTAGCTGAGTGGCCACTTTCCCTAATCTTTTAACTTAAATGATCATCATTAGAAGCAAACGCACAAAGTGATATCCAATGAACAGCTAAAGAGTTTCTAAATTGTGTATAATCCCTGCATTTTAACTGACAAGTGAAATTGATAATTGTTGTCTGTCAGATGTCTTATTTGGAGCACAAGTTTATTTGCTTCTTTTTTCCTTCCTCAATTCTCTCCATCACATAATCTGCTATTGAATAGATCATAGAATCTATATTGCTTGCATGAAGTCTTCTTGATTAATTTAAAGAGTGAGACACTGGAAGGGTAGGGATATGAAGTGGTGGTATAGTACAGTACCTTGAAGAAAAAACAAGATACTTTTCATTGCCAATGGGGAAAAAATGTCAATTCCATTTAAAAATAGTACACAGTTTCCCACAACAGAACATTTTTTAATTGTAAGTAAAACTCATTTTTATAAAAGCAACAAGATACTGATTTTTCATTTTGATCATGCAGTTAAACATAACAGTGAACACAGCAGGGCAATGATGCCTTCACTTTACCTTTTTATGTAGAAATCTGAGGGCACAGAAATGCTGAACCTGAGGGTTTGAGCACATTGAGGAGTTTACAAAGATCAGTTAATTGAGTTAATCTTTGTTCCCCAAATGTTTTGAGTTTCATGCAAAGCTGCTCTGAGTATCTACTGAGTTGCTGTTGCCCTGCATTTAAGGAATTTGGATGCAAATAAACCAGTTTGGCTCTTCTATAATGTCTAACGGCAGCACATTTGGCCTTGAATGACTTATTTGATAACATTCTTATAATGATTAATTAATGTGCATGGGGAACATATTTTAATGATTGTTTACATCTTGTTCGGTATGTTATCTGTAATCACAGAAATGTAGTCTGGTTTTCATATAATTTATATGCTGTGGCATGAGCAGTAAATTATGTGTGTGCCTTGTATTGTGACAAGTTAGAAGCCAAGTTTAAATTCAAAGACAAAGCAAAGAACCAGCCTTCATTCATTTCATCTCCTTTGGTCCCTAACACCTTTATGATGACACACACTTATATGTCCATGTTCACTTATCCCTCTGATAAGCTTTTATGTAGCCCTATTATGGTTAGGAATCTTAAGAACGTAGAAGCCAGGTCCTAGATGCAGAGAGAAAGGCCATGAATGGGAGCATAGGCTCCAGGTGGAACATGGGCTCTTTGATGATGCAGAGGGTTGCTAACAGAGTCAGAGAGTTTGAAGAGCAGAGCAACATGTTACATGTGGTGACCAGAGGTGCTTCAAGTTTTTTATCTGTCTTTTTGTAATATAATAATAAAAAAAACTACTTTATTTTTGTTCCTGCTATTTTCACACCATCTTTTCTCAGGGAAAAGTTTACAACAAATTATAAAGCACTATTGTTGGGGCTGGAAAAAATAGGTCAGTGGCTAAGAGTACTGGCCGCTCTTCCAGAGGACCTGAGTTCAATTCAAAACACCCATATGGCAGCCCACAACCATTTGTAACTCCAGTACAAGGGGACTTGAATGCCTCTTCTGGATGCTATACATTCAGACAAACATTCATACACACAAAATAAAAATTTTAGCACCATTATATTTCCTGGATAACTACAGAAATTTTCACTTTTTTTTTGATGGGGAGTTCAGTAGAATACAAATTGATCTAAGGGTTATATTTTAGAATTTTATACCAAAGTTATTTAAGCCAAGTGTCCAGTATTTGTAGTGGGTTAAGTTGAAAGAATCATACAACATATTAGATGTCAGGTACTCCTAAAAAATGCCTAGAGCTGTGTTGGTGCCCAATCCATTCCCAAACTATCCTTTTGCTTTTGCTAAACTGTTTCAGATTATCCTTTGTCTACATCTTCTCTCTCGTGAGCATAGAAATTTCCCTCCAAAACTATTTGTATGTGAGGATCACAAATTATCCCTGCTATAGGGAACCTACAGTACATCATTCATATGCACACCACAGTGGGTGAACTGAGTAAACTACATCACAGAAAATGGTCATTAGGAAGGGTAATATTCAGTCCTATAGGCCTCTAATTCCTGGGATGACAGACATTTTAGTTCTGTCTTTGGTTGGTTTGATTCGGTTTTGGAAAATCAATGATGAGCCTGCCAGTCAGAGCACCTGCCTCTCTGGTGTTCAGTGGGTAGACTAGGCACGGAATAAGGTGGTGAAATGTAAGCATAGTCACCCATGGGCTGTGGCCACGTCCTGAGCAAACAAGCCTTGTCTAAAGCCTGTCTATCAAGTTCTTGATACAGCTGTCTAGACTCTGAAGCTGATTCTGTACTTCTCTGTTTCTAAGACGTTTTCTGTGTGCATTTGGTTTGGGAAATTACCTCCCACATTTCTGGCAATTCAGGGTTTTTTTTTTTAATTTAAATCCCATTTACTTATATTTATTTATTTATGTACTTATTGTGTGTAGGGAGTTACATATGCCTTAGTGTATGTGGAGGTCAGGTGAAAACTTACTGGAGTTAGTTCTCTCCATTTATCATGTGGGTTCTAGCAGTCAAGAGGATCAAACTCAGGTCCTAGATGTGGTATTTTTTTATCCCCCCCTCCTTGGTATTATTTTTAAAGCAAGTGCCTTTTACCTCCCAGAGCATCTTGCCTGACCCTCCTGCCAATTCTTTTAGACCTCTGATAGCCTTCTAACAGATTCCTTTTATTTGAGATAGGAAATTTCTTTCATTTGCATGCAAACTTAGAGGCATTGCTGATACACCTGGCAGAATCCCTGACACAACAGATAATCAATGGATGCTGTAACATGAATAATCACAACCTGAATGTGTATCATCATCACATTTGCAAAATTGTGGGTTTTCTGATTCTGAAATACTCAGAAAGAAATTGAAAGAGAAAAGTCATGTTTCTACCTGCCAGAGACTGCCTCTCTGTTTTCTGTCAGTGTTTGAGTTTTTCAATGTCACAAAGCACATATTCACAATGTGTTACATGCGGTCAAGTTGCCTGAGCACTCCACTTACAACCATCTCATTGCATGATCCTCATAATGATCACATTCAATACCTCAGAATAGTCCATCATCTATCTGACCTAAAATACTGCCATCAGCCTCTGACATTTAGTTATACACACTCTTCTAATTTTTAATATACATTATAATGAATAACCTTTTACTCAAATGTTGCTAGTATTTACTTCCTTCTCAAAGACTAAACACAAAATAAAAAGAAAGATTTTTCAAACAATATGAATTTTAAAAAGCATTTACCAGATATCTTCATACTTGTCTCTCAGAAGGCTTTATGTAGCCTTCCTACTATGAGTAAATGAGGATGGCTCTGTTGATGCCTCCTTGTCAGTATTGCTACTTTTTACTATTTTTAATATTTAATACACACCTCACTTTTATTTGTATTTCTATTATTAATAGTAAGAAGATGAAATAGGTGTTTTCACTTGTCTTTTTTTAATGTCTTCCTTTTGAACTATTTGTTTAGATATTTGGACAACAGGGTGATGTTGATTGTTTAGAATTTGCAATAATTGTTCGGCATATTATCACATTAACTGTCATGGTTGATATCGCTGCTGCTCAATATATTTGTTTCATTTAAAAATGTATATATTTGCATACAACATATAATACTCAAATCTGTATTTTGTTTTGTGATTTCTTCCAGTGGCTTTATATTTAAGAATGCCTTCACCTCAAGTTAATTATGTATATTTTGTAGCTTTGCTTTGCAATTTCTTTATACATTTTTCGATATAGTTGGAATTAACTTTGGAGTCATGTAAGCCATGGATTTTAGCTCAATGTTTTCTTCAGATGTAGTCTATTTTCTTGAAGTTTTTGTCACACATTCCTATTTTTTAATGCTTCTTTCTTCTTTTAAAACTTGTTTGAGCCTATGTCCAGGCTATTCTCTCCAACTGATGTATTTATGAATTCCTTCAGTAGCACTATGCTGCTACCATGCTTGAGTTTGATGATTAGATTTAATTTTATTTAAACAGAGGAAAAACAACCACATCCATCTCCACCTCCATGCTGCATGCATGTACACACCTACACTATCCATGACACCTACACTATCCATGAAAAGCACATTTACCATTTTCAACCACCCATAAGTACACACAGCTTCTATGTACCCTCACCTACTTTTAGTCTCTGTAACTATCTACCTTCATCACCCACCACCATCCCCCAGCCCTGGACGCCATCCTTTGATTTAATTGTCTTCTGCTACAATATAGTTATTCACTCAGAACCATTTTGTTACTTTCTACCAAGCCACCTGCAAAAACTGTATAATAGATTTGGTGGTGGGGGGGGCACAAAAACTGTTTCATAATCTTTGTGTGTCTGTATTTCTGACCACGAATAAAGTATGGTTTTCTGTTTCCTTTTTTCTTAGTTTTATGCATCTTGAGAAAAAATTCATAGCTTTCTGCAAGTGTTTAATATTCCTTTTTATTCCCAAGTACTCTATCTATGCACAATTCCTATTTTTTCTCGATATTTATATACTGTTTCATGAATAGTACTACTTTCCAATATATGTTTGTCAATAAATGCTTGCATTTGGGGTAGCCTTTTGCTTTTGAAAATAAATTTTATAATCAACCATATTACTAAATCCTAATGAACTAATTGAGAGATTCAATTTATTCAACTCTGGGCCAATCATGTTTAACTAAAAATCAAGACACATTCTATGTTTTGGCTACTTGCATGGAAAACTTTACTTAACCATATGAATTAGATATTTTATTATTTTATAAAATAACTTTTAAGGAGATTTTTAAAGGATATGACTCTATAGCTACTCTAGATAACAAAAGTATACGGTGGATTCTTACATTGATCTGTGCTGGCTTCCTTCAAGTATAGTCTTTCCCAACCAAAGAATCATCCCTTGAATTAAATAAGACAAACAGTTTTAAATTTAATAAGATGTACAGTCATCTCTTGAATTCAACAAGACAAACTAGACAAGAAAAGCATATATAAAGATTTTTGACTGGAATATGCTCTAAATAAAAATCAATTTTTCTCTTCTATTAATCACAACAACGGCCAGAGTGGTTTAAAGGAAAAAACAGAACTCATGTGGATGGGTTCAGAAATTACATGTTCCTCTGTAAAAGAACAAATCTCCTTGTTTGTTAAGCATAAGTTTCTTATCATGAAAGAGTCCTTAATAACTGGTTTATCAAATCTTCATTGTGCTCATGAGATATGTAGTGTTCTGTATTTTTGGAAGGATTAGATAACCCCAGTGAAGATTATGAGGAGGGTCTTAAGAAAGCCTGGCTCACATTCCAACCTCAGTAATTAATTGCATTATTGTCATATGATATGATTACTTATTAGTTTCTAGAAGCCTAAAAATCTAGTTTTCTGTTGTCTGAGATCGAGCATGATGATCAGATCTATTAAACACATATTTGCAGACCATGTATTGATGTACTTTTTTACAAAAGTCTCAGTTGCCAGAAAAATACTCTAATCCAGTTAACTGCTAGCGAAACTGATTCTTAGAAGATGCATTTGTTAAAGCCAAGAATACTCCTCTTTTGAAGTTAGAATGAGGTTCTAAATTGTTCTTTTCATGCTAGTAAGAGAAACACAGTTTCTGAAAAAATAATGTCTTCAAATTTGCAAAGAAAATGCTATGAGGCAAAGTGTTCCTTCCTTCACTCATTCATCAGACACAGATTGAGCAACTTCTACATACAAGACACAAACTTAACATGGCAAAGCTTGTAGGTGTTAAAAGACCATACAAGTAACATAATATAAAATTATGGTATAAAGTATTAGTAAAGACAAAAATGTATTGAGAGATCTGGGTTGATGAGGAGGAGGTCAAGGAGGTTTTGGACTGGTAAAACAAAAGTGTTTTGGATGTTTACGACAGCAGGTCATTGTGACAGCAGCCCATAATGAGTGAGGCTGGACAAGTATGATACAGTCCTAGCATTTCTGGAAACTGTAACAGGTGTCTGGGTAGCATTTTATGCAAGGAACTGATCTGATCCTATCTTCTGTAATGGGGTGGGGGACAAGCAAGAAACCAGAGTGAGTCTTGTTAGCAAGTTATACTCATGATCTAGGGAAGAGAATACGATTTGGAGTTTCATAGTGACATCAGAGATACCAATGTCTGTTTGAGGAAAATATGTCAAAGCTTAAAGTAAAAGAATATTTGGAACTTTGGGATATTCAGGTCAAAGGAAATTTAGGTATCAAAGGTGACTCCTGCTATTCTGCCTAAATCATCTTCATAGACTCTGAATTATTTACCAAAATAAGAAAAGAAAAGCTGTAATATTTGGGCATCTATGGGACGTCACTGGTCAACAAATCCAATAGAGATAACCCTGGTATAGGGCTTTTTACTATCCTATGGTAAGGGCATTATTGTCCTGTTATAAGGTAAGTCCAGTGTATGAGTGTGTGTGTGTGTGTGTGTGTGTGTGTGTGTGTGTGTGTTTACAACGTAGGAAGTAATAAGTTTTAATGTGACTTTGCCAGGAAGTGCTTTATGCTAGCTATTTCTTCTCACATTCCCTCTATTGCTACCCCCCCATCCCAATATCACACTTCTTACCAAAACTCAGTGATGATTGAAGAAGAGAGAGGAGAAAGAGCCTGTGAATGACAAGGAAACAGCCTTTTCCAGTCAAAAACAGGAGAGTTACACCTATGAACTTCAACAATTGTAACAAGAACAAGACCTGCAAAAGCTCAAGCCCAACAAAATACCAGCGTGAATCAGGGAAATAGGTACAGAGTCCCGCACCCACCTGAAGAGATATTGGTACCTCTCAACTGCTGAGAGAGGGAGAGGTATTTTTCTTAAATGGTGTGATGTCTAGTAGCTCCAAAGCTCTCCAGAAGATAGCAACACACTGAATAATATATAGGCAGCATAAATTGGACTCCATGGGTTTTTTAAAAAATGGACAAAAAGTGGGATGGATCTGGTCAGGACTCAGGGAGAAGTTATTATAATCAAAATACATTGTATGAAATTCTCAAAAAACTAATAAAATATTTTAAACAATCTAAGTCAACCCCACAAGAAAGAAATAAAGAAAAACATAAAGGAAAAAAGAAATCTATGGACAATTGAGATAACTCAAGATGTAAAGGTGCTTGCCAATGGATCTAATGATCAGAATTCAATCCTTGGGACACACATGATAGGAGAAAATTGATTCTTGCTAGTCGGCCTCTGACCTCTTCACATATGGTACACACACATAGACACACAATAAACAAGTACATACATACATACATAACTGTTTTACAAGGTTAACCACCCTCCATCTGATTGCTCTACACCAATGAGTGTAGAAGCAGCATAAATTGGACTCAGTTGTACACACACACACACACACACACACACACACACACACACACACATATATATATGTATATATATATATATATATATATATATATAT